TCGGTGATTTACGGGGTAATAATGGAGGAGTCACCGGTTACTTCATGTCCACATTCCCAGGACTTATATGGAAGTTCATGTTCACTATCTTTCCAGGTCCCGGCAGAAGGCGACGGACCCAGGACACAGTTCATTGCAGCTTAGTAACGATTTTCAGGGACTCGTTTGCCAGGTGCAGGATGAACTCTTGTGGTACAAACAGCTAAGATTTCAGATCCGGCATTTGAGCGAGGAGCGAAGTTTATACATATAATTACACGCAAGCCACACCCTGATGAAGACAAAAGAACTGTTTTTATTGAACGTGGGGAGCCGGAGCTAAGGAAGGAGAAAAGCTGGGTCTGATGAAGGGGATAGGGAAGGCCGGCAGCTGATGTAACATTCCATGGGCGCCTGGAGGTAGACGTCCGAGAGATGGAGAGAAGGGAGAAAGCCTGTCTAGGCATTGAACTAGGTAAGGAATCAGCAAAGAGCGGGAGATGTAGCAGGAGGAGGAGGATTTGGCCTGAGTGTAGGACAGGCAGGATGAGGGGGAGAGAGACTGCGGAGTCAGGAGAGGCCTCATTCGGGAGTGTGAGCCTCAGGCACTGGGGCTGCATTCTGTAGCCGTGGACAGATTTGCAGCCCATCAGCTCTGCGTTCTAGACAGAGAACTGTGGTGCATTTGACAGGCATTTCTCAAAAACACACAGCAGGATTCTCATTTAAAGCAAAACCTCTGATCCCGTGCGCTGCCAACACTAACGTTCAAGGTTTCTAAGGAAGACTAGAATTCTGGAAAATGTGTGTCCAGGGGCATGAGCTTGACCGTTTCTCCTGGTGAGACAGGTCGTGATACGGTGTTTTTAACATTGTGTCATGAAATGTGTCGCCAATTGGAAGATCTGTGTCACTCAGTACACCAGTATTTTCCAGATGACCACCACGCGAAGGGACAGTCTTGTGTGGGTCAAGGAGCCAGTCCCAGTGCTCACTAGGCCAATGGGTTTGAATGCACCAGAGGCTGGAGGTCATCCGGGACACTAAACCCCTGGTCCACCCAGGCAGCCAGCCGGGGGGTCTCCTGTCTGTGACATGTCCCTCTGCCCACGTCCCCACACTCATGGCCACTTCAAGGACTCCGCCTTGAGTGAGGAATGCGCTATTGAGACCACAGGGCAGTATTCGTGACTGACCCCCATTGAGGACTCCATGCAAATTCTGAAGACGCTGGCGGGTGGGTGCAGGGATCCACAGTTATGTCCTGTTTCTCCAACTGCAAGTCTGTGTCATACCAGATTAATTCGTGTAATTTCACCGGAACTACATATCACAACAGACTGAGTGCAGAAGCAGACGTGAAAGTCTAAGTATTTTCATTACAAAGATTGCCCTGGCCGGGTAGCTCCGTTGGTTACAGTGTCATCCAGATATGTCAAGGTTTTGGGTTCAATCTCCAGTCAGGGTACGTACAAGAAGCAACTGGTGAGTGCATAAATAACTGGTTCAACAAATGAATGTGTTTGTTTGTTTTTCCCCTTCTCTCTCTCTCTCTCTAAAATAATATTTTAAAAGGTTGGCAAAAATCTAAAACAATGCAATTCCTCTCATGAATAATTTTATTTTGGGAGATAAATTATTTTACATAAAATATGTGTTTATGTTATCATCTAATATCCTTATTGTTATTTTATGGAATTAATACATTTTTATCTGTTTCCATTTTTTATTTGGTAAAAATTGGCAGAAATGACCCACATACACAAAAGTTCTTTGGGACCCTCAATATTTTTTCACAGCTGTATTGAGGTGTAATTGAGAACTTAGAAGTTTATATATTTAAAATGTATAAAGTTATGGTATGACATCCATATATATGTGAAATGATTACCACAAACAAGCTCATTAACATATCCACCATCTCACATCGTTACTCTGTGTGTGTGTGTGCGTGTGGTGAGAAGATTTAAGAATTATTCTGTTAACAAACTTTTTAAAATATGTTTTTATTGATTTTTAGAGAGAGAGGGAGATAGAAACATCAATGAGAGAGAAACATTATCCATCAGCTGCCTCCTCTATGCCCCCTATTGAGGATTGAACCCGAAACCCAGGCATGTGGCCTGACCAGGAATCGAACCATGACCTCTTGGTCCACAGGTAGACACTCAACCACTGAGCCACACCAGCTGGGCCTCTGTTAGCAAAGTTTAAGTATAGAGCGCAGCATCACTATAGTCACCATGCTGCACATTAGATGCCCAGAAAGAACTTACTTATCTTAGAACTGAGAGTTTGTACCCTAAGACCAACATCTCCCTACTTCCCCCACCCCAGTCCCTGGTAGCCACCATTCCATTACCTGTACCATGAGTAGACTTTTTAAGATTCCACATGTGAGATCATACAGTACTTGTCTTTTTTTATCTGGCTTATTTCACCAGGCATAATGTCCTCTGAGTTCATTCATGTCATCACAAATGTCAGAATTTTCTTCATTTTATGGCTGAATAATATTCCATCACACACACACACACACACACACACACACACACACACACACACACGAGGCCTGGTGCATGAATTTGTGCACCAGTGGGGTCCCTTGGCCTGGCCTGCAGGATCAGGCCAAATCCGGCTCTTCGACATCCCCCAAGGGGGTCCCGGATTGCGAGAGAGTGCAGGCCAGGACAAGGGACCCCATTGGTGCATGATTGGGGCCGGGGAGGGATGCAGGAGGTTGGCCAGCTGGGGAGGGACCTCGGGAGAGCTCCAGGGCGTGTCTAGCCCTTCTCGCTCAGTCCTGATGGACTGGACCCCAACTGCAAACTAACCTACCAGTCAGAGCATCTGCCCCCTGGAGGTCAGTGCACGTCATAGTGAGCAGTTGAGCGGCCTTAGCATATCTTTAGCATATTACGCTTTGCTTGGTTAAACAGGCAACTGGACAACCGGACACTTAGCATATTAGGCTTTCATTATATAGGATATATAAAGACTTTGGGAATCCCTCTTAATCTTGCTATTTCCTGCTCAGAACGTGGGGGACAGCACAATTAGGCAGAGGCAGGGCAGTTCCTAAGAGTTTTAGAGCAGGTGTGCTCAAACTGTTTTGTCTCAGGAACCCGTCACACTCTTAAAATTAACGCGGAGCAGGAGTTGGCTCTTTCTTTCTTGAAATTTGAAAAGTTTGCCTGTTCTTGAAAAATATAACTTTGGATTTCTTTTGTACTGCATGCCGGCCTGTTAATTTGTCCAATTCTGAGCACAAAAGCAAAAACAGGGGGACATTTTCCTGTCCGGCACCCCAATACAAAGCAGAAATTCCTGTCCCACAAGGAGGAACTCTCCTGCCTCCCAAACACTTACTCACATTTCAGTGAGTCAAAAGGAAACAGACAAATACTCATTCCCCCACGCCTGGCTGACTTCCTGAGGAGTCTGGGGGTGGGGGGTGCTGGGGTGAGTGAGTGGCCACCTAGGAGCTCACAGGTCATACCTGGGGTCTTAGTAAGCAGGTGAGCACCACACACAGGGCGGGGAAAGGCCTGGGGTGCTTGTCAGGATCAGCAAGTGAAGTTAGTCAGTGGCAGATAAGAAAGCAGGAAAGAGCTGGGGGCTGTGTATTTTGGGTCCAAAGGTATTGCGTTTATGGCTATGATTACACTCACTACATTTGATGAACAGCAGTGCAATACTGTAAAACCCCGCGCCTCCTGCCCTGGCTACCGGGAAAGGGAGCATTGAATTTCAAGTTCTTTCGACCTTGAATGACTTTGCTCTCCAGTGACAGATCCTCAGCACCCCGTCCTGCTCCTAGCACCGCTGCACGCCGGCTCCCCGGAGATCTGGGATGGCGACAATGATCATGGTCAGACTCGTAACCCCTTACGGCTATTCATTAAAATGGTGTTGCTTCACAAAAGTAGTCACTGGACGAATTCTAGTTTCAGCAAACGTGCTGGGAATTTGTGGTGAGCCTTTGGAGGAAAACGCAGACTTAAGGAAAAGGGAATACTGCCCTGTTTTTTAGGTTGGCAGGTGGAAATGTGACATATGGTTATAGAATGTTCTCTTTCCAGATGGGAGACTGGCATGATGGGAGAAAATGGTCAGGGTGTCACCCAGACAGGAGAGGGGTGCCAGTTCACACCCAGCTCTCCTCTCGGCTTCAACTTAGTGATAACATCAGCTCCTTATTACCTTGGAGAGGCGTGAATGAATACGGACCCATACACACACTCATGCACACACAGAGGAGTGAATGAACACACACTCACGCACACACACACACTCATGCGCACGCACACACAGTGAATGAAGACACACGCACACACACACTCACACATATGGACAGGAGTGAATGAAGATACACATACTCTCACACACACACACACACACACACTCATGCACTCACACACATACACACACTCAGTGAATGAAGACACACACACACGCATGCACACACACACACATATGGACAGGAATGAATGAAGATACACATTCTCTCTCTCACACACACACATACATACACACACTCATGCACACATACACTCAGTGAATGAAGACACGCACACACGCATGCACACACACACATATGGACAGGAGTGAATGAAGATACACATTCATTCTCTCTCTCTCTCTCTCTCTCTCTCTCTCTCTCTCTCTCTCTCTCTCTCTCTCACTCACACACACACACACACACACACACACACACACACGCTCCGGCAGCAGCCAGGCCTTGCTTAACTGTCACCTGGATAATCATAGCTCGGGGCGCATTTTCTTTCCGATGAGTTAGTTGCTAACCTGGTCGTTGGGGCTTATTTTGGTCCGTCTCTCCGCCCCCTGGGAAAGGCAGGGGCAGCCGGCCGGGCGGGACCTCCAGGCGGAGCGAAGGTGTGGTTTCCGGGGGCGCGGGCCCAGGTGCGGCCGCGGGGGGCGGGGCGGGGCGGGGCGCGCACATCCGTGTTCCCCCGGGCGAGGGGCGGAGGGGCGGAGGGGCGGGGAGGGGCGGGCCCTGGCGCCCGGAGAGCCGGCCGCACACTTTCCTTGCTCTCGCCCGGGCAGGAGACCAGCCGTCCACTCGGTCCCTGGCGAAGATCGGGGTTCCGGGTCCCCACAGTCTCCGAGCAGCTCAGCCCCCGGAGGCGCAGGATGCGGGCGGGGCGCGCGGGGCCGGGGCCGCTGCGGCCGGTGCTGCTGCTCCTTCCAGGTGAGCGGGGCGTGGGGTCTCGGGCGGGGGGCGGGGCGGGGGGCCCGGGCAGGCGGCGCGCGTCCCCGCTCCCACCCCACGGGGACCCGGCTCCCCGGGTCGGGCGGATGGAGAGACCCCCCTTCGCGCGCTGCCCGCCGGCGGCCCCGGGAAGGCGGGCTCGCCCTCTGCGAAGCGCCCTGCAGTCCAGGCAGCGCCGGCTCTGGTGTTGGCCCGCGCCGGGCGCACCTGCGCACAGACCTGGACACGCGTGGGGGACCGGAGGGCGGGACCCGCAGCCCGGCTGGGACAGGTGCCTGCCGCGCCGACGCGGGCCGGGGGAGGGCGGGGGTGGGGTAGGGTCTGAGGGTCCCGGATATGCGGACCCGGGCCGGGGGGCGTAGGAGTGTGGGGTAGGGGGGGTGGGGGTCTGTGGGTCCCGGGAATGCGTCCTCCTCAGCGCCGAGCTGGTGGTTTTGCAGGACCTGGGTCCCCAAATGCTGTTTGCACCCGAGGGTGTGCCAGCCTGTGTCCCCCGCGCGCCCTGGCGCCTCCGGCCGGTGGGGCGGGACAGAAGCCAGCGCCCGGAGCGCAGGCCCGCGGAGGGGATCCTTCCTCCCATTGTTCCCCCGCTGCGAGCGCCGCCAGGAAACTTCTTTCCACTTTCTTGGTCCTGGCGCCGCAGCCAGAGAACTGACGGGGCGGCAGCTCCAGCTGCGGGGGTGAGGGGCACCCCGCGCCCCGCTTCTCTGGCCCCAAGTGGGGACCTGAGGCTGGGGTGCCGTCCGGCGCGACCCTCCTGCACCCGGACCGCCTGCTGGGCCGGTCGGACTGGCTGCGGGAACGTTCCCCTCCTGGGGGCGGGGCCGGAGTCACTTGTATTTTGTGGTGCGTTTGGCCATCAACACCCAAACTCGGCCTCTGCTTTTCCAAGGTTTCCACCAAGTAGATGAGTGTTTCCTAAACTGCCCCCCCCCCCCCCCCCCGCCCCGGAGGCACTTCGCCAGTCGCTATGCTTCACTGAGGGAGAAGCTAACCCAGGGGCCCTGGGCCTCCTCCGGGTGGGAGAGGAGTAGGTCGTGCCCATGCCAGCAGCAGGAAGGGGCACTGGTGTGTGTGCTCACAGGTACTCTCTCCTGCTCCCCTCCCCCCAGGGGCCAGCACCCTAACCGGGCTTTCGGATAAGGTTGGACTCAGGGGAAAACGCAGCCCTGGAACCACAGCCGACCTCCAGGCTTCTCATCTCGTTAATGGCCCATTATTAGCAGACGCTGTGGAAACATCGCAGCGTTTCCCTGCTGCGAGGTGTGTCGGGGCTTGTCTGGCAGCGCAGGGAGAGCTGCTGTGAGGAATGCGTGGCCGCCAGGCGGGGCGTGCAGCGGGGACTCACCTGGCGTGTGCAGGGCACAGCTCCGTGCAAGCGGGCAGGGCCGGGGGTGCAGTGCCAGGGAACGCGCCCGTGTGGTTATTTCTTCCTCCTGCCCCCGCATGTGCATACTCAGGGGACAGGTTCCCGGATTCAGGGGGATCATAATGGAGCTTTGCCCTCCGGGATATCACCGGGGTTCCGAGGGGAGCAGCCTCCTTTCGAGGTTCCAGGAGTATCTGAGATGAGCATGAATAATTGCCACCTGTAGGGCAGTGGCAGGTGACATTTCAGATGGCTTGGCCCGGGTTGTATAAAATGGTCGAGGACTCGTCATTGCTATGCGCACACACATAATTGTTTATAAATTATAGGCGTGTACAATCGTGTCATGTAAATACACCCCACCGTTAAAATGGCAGAGAGATGCATGTGTGTGTATGTGTTCATACATCTTGCATTCTCTCCAGCATACATACCAACCAACCACTGCGGAAACACGCGGCCCTCCAATCTCATTTTAACGCTTAGACCCCTTCGCACAGGCGTGAGAAAAAGCGGTGCTTGCAGTTCGGTCCCCCTCCAGCACCTCTCAGTGGTCGCGCCTCCATTTAAGTGAGTGGTTCTCAACCTGTGGGTCGCGACCCCTTTGGGGGTTGAATGACCCTTTCACAGGGGTCGCCTAAGACCATCGGAAAACACATATATAATTACATATTGTTTTTGTGATTCATCACTATGCCCTAATTATGTTCAATTTGTAACAATGAAAATACATCCTGCATATCAGATATTGATACTACGATTCATAACAGTAGCAACATTGCATTTATGAAGTAGCAACGAAAATAATGTTATGGTTGGGGGTCCCCACAACATGAGGCACTGTATTAAAGGGCGGCGGCATTAGGAAGGTTGAGAACCACTGGTTTAAGTGCTGGCAATCCGGATGGTCAGCAGGTTTGAGGGTGGGAAATAAAGACCGTAAGAGGCCTCGAGCGTCCCTAATAACTACAGGTCCGAAGCCGCCAGGGACGTGCCGTTGCCAGTACACGCTCCTGTCCCCAGGCCAGGCCAGGCAGTCCTTCCCCGGCCTCCAGCCGCCTCCTCTCTCTGCCTCTGGCGCCCAGTCTTCCCCGCTCAGTGGATATGTCAGGCCCTCTCCCTGCAGCCTGTGCATATTGTGACCTCTCTCTTAGTCAGCAAGTCCTTTCACTGTGTGGTTTGGCAGCTCTTTCCTCCTGAAACACCCTCCACCTCTGGCTTCTGTTCTCCCTGCCTTTCTCCTGCCTCCCTGGCTGTTCTGTCCGCGGTCCTCCGCTCCCTTCCCCAGTCCCCGGTACAGTCCCCGCTCCCGCCAGCATCCCCCGGCCTCCTCCTGGCTTCCGGAGCAGGGTGCCCACCTCGATGGCGGGCCAGCACGGCACATGCCACCCAGATGTCCCCTGCCTCCTGCTCTCCTGGCCTCTGCAGTGGTTTGAGGGCAGCGTTCCCTGCAAGCTCTACACCGGCCACCTCTTCCTTGTCCTCAGCCTCATGGCCAGCCTCTGCCTCTGCCTCCGCCTCCGCGTCCTGTCCCTACCGCACTCCCCTACCCCCCACCCGCCTGTGTGTCCATCCGCACTGGGCCCTGGGTTTCTTTGTCTGGGCTCCTGTCATGTTTACACTGTTTTCTGGTTTTGCCTCCTCTCCCTCCCGTCCAGTCCCCTCGTCGTCACCAAGGCTGTCTTTCCAGGCTCTGACCTGGGTCGAGTCCTCCCCAGTTGAGACATTCAAAGGCTCCCATCTGTGTCGGGTAAAGTACGCATTTCTTGGCCGGTCAGGAAGGCCCTGTGCCATCTGGCCCAGCCACGTGTTCAGCCCTTTCTCTGCCCCACCCGTCCTGCTCACACACACAGGCACTCACACCGCTCTGTGTACACAGCACACGCCCCGGAAAGCCATATATACACCCCCACACGCACCTCTGCGTCCTGACTGCACCTGATTCCAGCGTCTGTAGTGTTAGCACCTTTTCTACACCATTCTCCCTGCATTCACCGTCTGGATGCTTTCCCCTCTTTTCGCTCATTCCTTTGTAACTCACCAGTGTCCTGAGCGAGAAGAGACAACGCCAAGCGAGACTACACAGTAGGAGCCCTGGGCAGCATGGCTCAGGTGGTTGGGCATCGTCCTGTGCACCAAAAGGCTGCAGGTTCGATTCCCACAGATTGTGTGCTTGATCCCTGGTAGGGGGTGTGCAGGAGGCATTTCACTCTCACATCAACATTTCTCTCCCTCCCTCTCCCTTCTTCTCGCTCTAACAATCAATAAAAATCCCCCTAGCCGGTTTGGCTCAGGGGATGGAACTTCGGCCAGCCTGCGATTGAAGGGTCCCTGGTTCGATTCTGGTCCAGGGCACATGCCTGGGTTGCAGGCTTAATCCCCAGTGGGGGTCTGCAGGAGGCAGTTGATTGATGATTCTCTCTCATCATTGATGTTTCTGTCTCTTTCACTTCCTCTCAGAAATCAATAAAAATATGTTTTCTTAATAAAAGATATTTTTATTAATTAAAAAGCAAATAAAAATCAATAAAGTGGGGAAGTTTTTCTTTTATAACAAAAAGGAAAGTTTGAGGCAATCTCTGATTTCTGGGACCCACCAAACCCCAGCCCGGCCTCTGATAAAGTAACTCCCTCTCCCAGGGCTCCCAGCTGCCACTGCCCAACCCCCGCTAGGCGGTGCTCCCAAATACTGGCTCAGGAGCCTCTGAGTGATGTAAATGAGTGGATTGGGGCTCAGGATTTAGTATTTAAAAACAATTACTCATCTGTTTCTGATGTTCAGCCAGGTTGGGAGTAACTGCTGAAAGGCTAGCACCGAGCCTCCTCTCCCAACAAATTAAAATTCCAGTGTGGCCCAGATCACCTTGTTGGGAGGTGACCACCAAGACAGGTAGATTGCAACACCCCGCGGCGGGGAAGCGTCAGGTGGGGAGAGTTCCCGGCAGAGCGGGTGCTGAAGGCTCCTGCCTCCCTGTGCTAAGGGCCTGGGGCGGATCAAAGGGCCAAGTCGGTTACTGCAAAGACATGAGCTGCTGGTGGGATTGCACACATTCCGCAGAGTGAAGACACACAGTCAGCGCATCAAAGACAAGGAATTTCAGGGAAAAGGAGGACCAAAGGATCATCCTGACATCATGTAGACTCTGCGCCTGGGCTGTGGGCCCTGCCTGAGATGCTCATGTCACTGAGAGATTCCGCCTCAGAGAGGAAGAAGCTCTCTTATCATCACAGCAAAGACCTGGGGGGGTTTGTGGCTGGTTTGTTGATTTCATTTGTTATGGTGACTAATGATTTACTGGACAGTAGCTCAGAAGAAGGGCTGTTGAAGAGAAGAATCTAGAAGAAGGGCTGTTGGGAGCGAAGAATCTAGAAGAAGGGCTGTGTAGAGAGAAGAATCTTGAAGAAGGGCTGTTGGAGAGAAGAATCTAGAAGAAGGGCTGTGTAGAGAGAAGAATCTTGAAGAAGGGCTGTTGGAGAGAAGAATCTAGAAGAAGGGCTGTGTAGAGAAGAATCTAGAAGAAGGGCTGTGTAGAGAAGAATCTAGAAGAAGGGCTGTGTAGAGAAGAATCTAGAAGAAGGGCTGTTGGAGAGAAGAATCTAGAAGAAGGGC